GGCCGACAGAAACCAAAGCCAGGGGCTAGGGAGGCGTTGCGGACGCCGGCAGACGCAGGTCGGTTGCAAGCTGAGTTTCCAAGCACTGTGAAATGGCGGGTTTTACAGCCTAGCCACCCCGCCCCCTTCGCCATCCCCCCTTCGCCACCCCCTTTCGCCACCCCCCTCGCCATTCCCCTTCGCCACTTTCGTCATCATTATTAGAAGATCCGCGGCGAGGTCAGGCGCTAGTTCTTGGGCCTCGCTCCGGCCTGCTGTAAGTTGTCATATCCAATGAGTTCTGACCCTAAGGCATTTTTATGGCATTTAAATTAGTTTATTAAATCTGTTTCCAGTATCTATCCCTCTATCCCAGTGGATGGGGGGGGGGGGGTGAATCCCCTCCTCATCCTGGCTGTGCAAAAATATGTTGTTTGTTCAGCTTTTCTTTTCATTTCAATGTTGCATCTTAAAGGTTACTGTATCAGCATGTTGTGTGGCCAGCTGTACCCTACTGCAGTGTGGCCAGCTGTACTCTACTGCAGTGTGGCCAGCTGTACTCTACTGCAGTGTGGCCAGCTGTACCCTACTGCAGTGTGGCCAGCTGTACCCTACTGCAGTGTGGCCAGCTGTACTCTACTGCAGTGTGGCCAGCTGTACCCTACTGCAGTGTGGCCAGCTGTACCCTACTGCAGTGTGGCCAGCTGTACCCTTCCACAGTGTGGCCAGCTGTACTCTACTGCAGTGTGGCCAGCTGTACCCTACTGCAGTGTGGCCAGCTGTACTCTACTGCAGTGTGGCCAGCTGTACCCTACTGCAGTGTGGCCAGCTGTACCCTACTGCAGTGTGGCCAGCTGTACTCTACTGCAGTGTGGCCAGCTGTACCCTACTGCAGTGTGGCCAGCTGTACCCTTCCACAGTGTGGCCAGCTGTACCCTTCCACAGTGTGGCCAGCTGTACCCTTCCACAGTGTGGCCAGCTGTACCCTTCCACAGTGTGGCCAGCTGTACTCTACTGCAGTGTGGCCAGCTGTACCCTACTGCAGTGTGGCCAGCTGTACCCTTCCACAGTGTGGCCAGCTGTACCCTTCCACAGTGTAGCCAGCTGTACCCTTCCACAGTGTAGCCAGCACTGTTGTCCTCAGCCTGCGCCAGTCTTGGCCACAAGTCTAACACTCTTCAGCTACTAGAGTGCTGCCAAAGAGTGGGATATAAAGTTCACACTGACAGGTCAGTGTTGTCCTCGTCTGTGGCTCGTCTCAGCTTCCCCGTGTCACAGCTCCCCGTCTGTGGTGACACAGTGCTGAAATATGTTTCTCAGCTGGGATGTTTCTCAGCTGGGATGTTTCTCAGCTGGGATGTTTCTCAGCCGGGATGTTTCTCAGCTGGGATGTTTCTCAGCTGGGATGTTTCTCAGCTGGGATGTTTCTCAGCTGGGATGTTTCTCAGCTGGGACGTTATCCAACGTAATACTGGTGGAATTCTCCACTAGTATAATTGACAGCAAATCCTCCTTGGCCCTATGACACCACTAACACATCCTTCGTGTCTTGAAAGACACCTTTTCACCACAAAGAATGTTATGACAAGCTCCTATTCTCTCTCTCTCTCAAAAAACATGAACTCACAAGCCCTCTAGGCCTATATACCAATGACCTCCCAGGTCTGCCCTGGATCAGCCTATTGCCAGTGATGCTTATGACAGACGGTTAAATGAACGCCCCACTCAGCATTCCTGAACGTGAGCCGCACTTCCTTGTCTCTGGACTATTGATGGTGGGGATTTTTGGTAAACACATTTTAGTGCCTAATAGGCTATAGGCTCGAGGCTGTGACCTGATTGACTCGTATTCTGGGCTCTGGGTCAGTTCCCTCTGTTTATCTCTCTACTGCACATCAATTGTAACCAGGAGAGATGTTACAGTATCTCCATCACTGTATGATGAAATATATACAATAGATTATCAATCTATTGTATGTATTTCAATTATTGATCGCTAATCAATAGATTAGCAATCATAATAGGGAAATAGATTATCTCTTCACATTATGATTACACAGTGCTAGCGGGGCTGCACACGCTACTTGCTAAACGCTTAAACATGATCTACATGTCAAACATGATCTACAACATGTCAAACATGATCTACAACATGTCAAACATTGACGTTTCGAAGGATATTTTGTACATAAAACAGGTCACAACTGCTGGACAGAAGCAACGTAGCGCGTCGCTGGTACAGAGGGAAGCAAGAGACACGAGAACGCTTCAAGACACAGCCGTACAAGATGGCCATCAAACCAGCGCTGGAATATTCATGCCAACTCAGGAACTCCTCTACAACCAATACCAACTCTGATAACAAGATAACAAACCCGGCAGCTGCGCACAGCGTCTCAAAACTTGCCCCGGCGGTCGGAGAACTCGCACTAAAACTTCAACCCCAACTTCACCACTACGTACAGACACGGACGACGAGGTGACATCCGCACACATCCACACACACATACATGACATCTTGAGAAATAACTAGAGGACTCTCGAGATCAGCCAAGCCACACCGGATGCAAGGTAACGCTAAGCATGACTGGCTGCGAGGAGAGGCCAGCAACACCGGCCTATAGCGACACAACACCAACAACGACCCCCCACCACACAAGGACACGTGGTGGTAACTGTGGTGTAGAGGCTCGAACCCAGACCCGCTAGCCTGGACTGACACACACGGAAGTCACACTCCTGCCAGTGCTGGACGCTTGGGCACCCTGGCCTCATAGCTCACTCATGTAACCAGCAGCGATTGGGCGGGAGGGAGGGAATTACCACGGGAAAAGTGCCAAGCCATCCCAGCAGGAATAGGGAACCAGGACGAAAAACGATTAGCTAATCATTTCTGTTGACCAGACCAGACACTCAAAAGGTGTATGGACGACGACGTTTCGGTCCGTCCTGGACCGTTCACAATCGACTTGAGAATGGTCCAGGACGGACCGAAACGTCGTCGCCCCTTCACCTTCTAGTGTGTGGTCTGGACAACATACTTCAGCCACGTTATTGTGACTCTTCGCCTGCATTTGTACCAAAAATACTGCATTTACACCCTCACGTATTTCTTAGAATATATCACCATTAACAACACTCAAGAGAATACGAAATAGAACCCATGCAAACAGCTGAATACTGATGTGTTATTATGTGTTAAAGAGACTTGTTCGTATCTCTCACTCTCTGTAATGAGATACAGTGTGTTAAGGAGCCTGTGGTTCAGCTTTCTCAGCTGTGATACAGTGTGTTAAGGAGTCCACTGTTGTCTTTCACTGTGTTTCGGGTGATGTGGTAAAGAGCCAGGATGTGTTAGGGAGTCACTAGTTAAACTCCCACTGATGAAGTGACTCAGTGGGGGCAGGGAGCCCACTGGTCACCTCCCACACCACAGCCTGGTGGCTCGGGGGAAAAGCTTTCACACACTTAATGGGTTAGAATACATATATAATTATGGGAAGATTTGTCGCCATGATGCACGTGGCAACTGTGCATGCATACCATGGCAACTCTAGTAACTACCATGCAATACCACAATGTCTCGTTTCATGCTATTCAGCCTCAAGGAGGCTAACTACTCCTCTAGGGTGTTCTTGCTAGTAGTTACCTCACTTAACTAGGCATGCACTAGCAATACTGATGCAAGCCACAACTAGTATTTGTCACTAATCACACACACACACAACTAGCACTAGGTAATATAAGTGAATAGCATTAGTGAATTCAAATGTACTACCCCTGAACCACACTCCTTGCTGGAATTATCAACCAACACATTTTCTCTGTACATAAAGCAAGTAAACCTTTGAATTCACCGGAGGCAATGTTGAACACCGAGAACAGAACCAACTGAGGTAGAGAGTGATGTATATCAGTAACACCATCATCGCCAGCACTCCTAAGGGACACCTGAGGCGCCACGTCTCACACCACCCATTATAACACTTAACTACCCCCCCTTTACCTACCCCCCCCCCTCCTTAAGCAAGTAATCAACCGCAAGTCGCTCAGATTAAGACCCCCCGCGGCTCTTACAGGAACTTGACGTTAGTGGAGACTGAGGGACATTCGTGAGGCGATCACCGGACTGCCCATTCTTCCCCCAACTGTTGACTAATCTACACCTTGCCGACTCCACAGCTGAGGGTCCTGACACAACTTTCCTTTAACGCAAAACTGAAAATAAAAACATCTTTATCGCATCGCTATGGCTAATCTTTGTCTCTAGAATCCACATTTATTGTTATATAGGTGTATTCATGACGACTATTTCCTCTTTTTCCACCCTGTTTATGACGTTGCGTATTTTTTATGTCTCTGTCATGTCTCCAGTCTTTTTTCTATTTTGTGGCATAGTTAAGCTCAGCGCAATACATTTCTCTCCAAAATCAATTCCACGAAATTTAGGGTCGAGCCTCGTTGTTAATGATTTTATCTTTCCAAGTTCTTAATACAAGTTTTTATCTGGTGGGGGCCGAACTAAGAGGCTGCACACGCCGGGACTGGTGTCACGTACGTGGTGTGCAATAAATATGAGTGCTATGGGGGGTTCCCTACAAGTTCCTATGTAAGTTCCCTACAAGGGGAATATCAATCTTCTATTACGGACGATCTCATGCATTATCTAATCTCCTACAACGTTTCCTATTGCGACACACTTTGACGCCTTAGCCATATTTTGGAGCCAAATTTTGGCTCTCTGCACGTATTCGCAGTTTGAAATTATGACTTTTTATACCGAAAATATGCCAATTACTGAAAGCGGCGATGGGTCACATTTTAACCAGCCACTGAGGCCATGTTTAAGGTGCCGGCGGTGGTCCCCCGCTCATAATGTCACAATTACCCTTCCCTTCCCCTCCTTTCCCTTGATGTGAGGGTCAACTTCCCTCTCACGGGCGTGTGTGACGTCCCTTGGGGGCGGCTGGTGAGGCTCAGGGCCACATGCACTCTCTACTCACTGCTGCACTCCTCCTCACCCTGAACCGTGGTGCATGTGAGCAACAGCACTGAAACACAGAGAAAATACACACGTTAGTTAGCAGTCACAACAGCCACACAGAGTTGTGTGAGGGTGAGATGAAGACCAATACACATAACAGTGAAAAATAATTATTATTATTATTATTATTATTATTATTATTATTATATATATATATATATATATATATATATATATATATATATATATATATGCATATATATATATATATATATATATATATATATATATATATATATATATATATATATATATATATATATATATATATATATATATATATATATATATATATATATATATATATATATATGTATATAATAGCCACCTACAGGGTGCGCAATACCATCTAAATGTTAGCAGAACGAATACTCGAAAACCAGACTTGGATTTCCTCGAGGGCAATCAAGCCCCACAATACATGTAGAAACGTAGTACCCAAATGAACCACAGAGACATTATAAAATACTTTTTTTTCGGTGTCTAATGCACTTAGAAGCGGATTGGCGGAGGCAGACGACATACACACACTTTCAAATGTAGATGTGATTGAGCCCGCAGTAGGTTCAGACACCTGTTTACCAGTTAATTGACGGTTGACAGGTGGAGCCGAAGCTCAGTCCTCCCTAGCACAGCTGTGATCGACCAGTGACAGGTGGTCGATCACAGCTGGACAAAAACCACCACGAACAGTGAGTGTGTCAGAGCCACAGAGCCAAGGTCAGCGAGAGGGTCAGCCCCTAGCTGGTCCCAGCTGTTCTGGCTACAACTGGACCCAGCTGTGCCTGGGTACAAGTGACAGGACGAACAACCCACCAGCTGCTATACCTAGTGAGGGAGGGTGGGGGGGTGCATGCTGCTATATAGCAATATATTCAGTCACAGGATGAGTTACGCTGCCCCATACTGTCACTGAGGCGGTATAGTCACACAAAAGATGAGTAACGCGTCCCAAAAACCCTTTCCTTTCGGGATTTTGTTTTGTTTCTAACTGCAGGAAAGCACCAGGGCACAATGAAAGGAGAGGGAGGAGGGAGAGGGAGAGAGGGAGAGAGAGAAGAGAGAAATAGAGCAGCAGGAGCAGTACGCTGGCAGAGGAGCGTGGCGTCAATGAAGGCGCCGGACCTACCCATCGATCTCTGGCAGAGAGTTTGCATGGTCCATACCACCTTGTGTTTACCCTCCCCCCTCCCCCAACCCACTTCCCCTCCCCCGGGAGCCTTCCCTCTCTCCCTCTCTCTCTCTCTCTCTCTCTCTATCTCCCCTCATCCTGCTACCCTCGGCCCTCCCTCTGTGGTCTGAGCCGCCACCACCACCTGCCGCCGCCGCCACACACACACACGCCACCTGTTCGCTCCACCCACCTGGTAGGTGGGTCGCTACAGTGTCATCTATGCAACGTGTATCACTCTTCACACGTTTATCTACGCCACCTGGGAACACCACCACCTGGCGAGCTCTTCACCTGGCCAATCAACCACCTGGCTAGCCCTTCACCTGGCCAATCAACCACCTGGCTAGCCCTTCACCTGGCCAATCAACCACCTGGCTAGCCCTCCACCTGGCTGCAACATCGACTGACCATCTATCCAGCGGTACAATAAACCACTAACATCTATTTCATTTTTAATATCATCACGAATTTGTTGATTTTTATGCCATGTGTTAAACAACACCTCCAGCATAACTGGGGTGCTGCCAAGGGTTTAGAAAAGACACATCTGTTGCTGATCTCTTGCTAAGTCACCCCACTAAGTGGCACCAGTCACTGGATGAGGCCAAGATCAGCTGTGTTGTTGCTCTCGACACAGCAGGAGCCCTTGACCGGGTCTGGCACTCTGGATTAGTAGTGAAGCTTCAAGCACTAGGCATCTCGGGCTCCATCTTAGAGTTAATAAAATGCTACCATCAAGAACGGCCTCTAAGAGTAGTCCTCAATGGAGCAGAATCCGAAAGCCACTCAATTGGTGGCAGCGTTCCATAGGGTAGTGTGCTTGGCTCCTCTGCTGTGGAATGCCTGTTTCAACGATCTGAACAACAGAGCCTGTAGTACCGTCGTGACGTTCGTGGTTTAACTATTATGTTCAAGGCCAACATTCTCAAAATTCCGAACCTGGCCCAACTCCGTGGACTACCAGATGTTGTCACCCGTAGTACTAGTCTCTCAACCTTCAACAGTCTCATGCTGGAAGTGACTTTCTAAAGAAGATCACCCCATCAGCGATCATTCGATCACTCCGAAGCCGACTCGCATCTGGAACTTGTTCACTCAACAAGTTGATACACGGGAGATCAGGTCAACTGATCACATGAAGGCTCTGGCACACAGTTGGCTACAGGCTCATTATGTTCCTTATATGATTATTCATTAACAACAGTAGGCAACAAAGTTTATTCCTATTGGTGTGGATCAGGCTCATGAAATTAATGGGTCTCTATGAGCAGGTTTCAACTCAGCTGAGGTAGAATTACAGCTCTTGCTTGCAGTTTCACTAGGCACGTCAATTGACAGCCCTTATGAACCCAAGGCTTAGTTTAAATAGAGAGAGAGAGAGAGAGAGAGAGAGAGAGAGAGAGAGAGAGAGAGAGAGAGAGAGAGAGAGAGAGAGAGAGAGAGAGAGAGAGAGAGAGAGAGAGAGAGAGAGAAAAAAAATATTAATAAATTAAGGAGTTGTTGGCAGCCTTTAAGGAGAGAGTGACAGAGACGCAGACAAGTAACTACACAACAATATAGTGCTCACAATGCACTCACAGTCACAACATAATTCAATGAAAACACTAACCATCCTGAGGCCGGGACAAGATGTGAAATGTTGGCAGACCTGAGCCACAGCGGTCATGGCTCGCGGCCAACCTCTCACGTCTCATCTTAATTGGCCAAAACCTGTTTTCTCATTGAGTGCCTAAGATGATGATTCCTATTATCATTATAGGATATAAACACAAGATACACCCCCCCCCCTTCCTTGCCAGGTGTGGCGTCAGAGGAAGACACACATGTGTCGGCCGTCTGGACACACCTGCCAGACGCCAACCCTCACCTGGCGGCCTCAGCGGCCAAGTGTCCAACAAAAAATTATGTGAGGCATTCACACCCCGCCTTCCTTCATCAGGTGGCCCTGCTGCACGTTTTATATTAACATAGATGGTTAAAAAATGGAGATGGAGGGAGGGGGAGGGGGAGAGAGAGAGTAGAGAGAGAGAGAGAGAGAGAGAGAGAGAG